GCATAAACACTCTCAATGTAAATCTGAATCCCTGGGTGTTGGAGCTAACTAAATAATGTGCAAAATGGCATAGGCTGTAAAAATATTTCCACTTTTGTAATATTTCTCTGTAGATAATTTCTCCAGAGCAGTTTGGTGTGTGCTCCCTGATGGGAGAGGAGTGCTGCAGCATCCTGCATCCAGCTTTCCTCAGCTCCTGGAGGAAAGGCTTCCCAACCATGTGAGGAGCTGAGGGAGAGAAAATGGAGCACAGAGTGTCTTTAAACACGAGGGCTGGACTAATTAGGAGGGAGAATGATGGAATAAAATCAGCTAAACTTGAGAAAGAGGGAAACAAATGAGTTGTTGGGCACAGTGATTCCTGTAACATTTATAAATCGAATCCCTCTGTCCCTCCTTCATTTACAATTGCCACTGGAAGTCAGGATTTGATGTATGTTTTCAGCCTGCTGGAGGCAGGGAGGGTGTTTGGAAGGAAAAAAAGGACATTTTGGAAAACTACAGAGTGAAAAACCTTTCATTTTTACATCATTTGGTGAAGGAATCTCTGCATCCACAAACCAGTTAAGCACATGTGGGCCTGGTAGAAGAGAATAAATAAATTAATAATAATAATAATAACAGGAAGCATTCCAAGAAGTCAGGAGTGACAGTTGATGTCAGTTCATGAAGCAGCAGCACGTTATGGGATGGATTAACTCTGGAGTGAGAGCTCTAAATGGGGAGAAATTATGGAAGAAATGAGTTCTGCCTAAGGCAGGGCAAGGCGAGCGTGCCCAGGCAGGGCACTGGTATTTGCTAACCTGGATTTTTGGGTTGGCTTTTTGGTTTTTATTGAAAATATCTGCTCTTTATAACCTTGTCAGGAAATACATAAACAGGGATGAARTTCCAAAAAATCCTGATGTTGGWGAGAAGGTTCCAGGGAGAGCTTAGAGCCCCTTCCAGGGCCTAAAGGAGGGACACGACAAGGGGGAGTGGCTGTAAGGTGGAAGTGAATGGATTTAGGTGGGATATTGGGCAGGAATTGTTTCCTGGAGGGTGGGCAGCCCTGGCACAGGGTGCCCAGAGAAGCTGTGACTGCCCCTGGATCCCTTTGAGTGCCCAAGGCCAGGCTGGAGCACCCTGGGGTGGTGGGAGCTGTCCCTGCGATGGCAGAGGTTGGATGGGATGAGCTCTGAGGTCCCTTCCAACTGAAATTATCCTGATTTGATTCAGTGGAAGGTCTCTAAACAGAATAAGAGGACAGTCCCTGCCTCAGAGGATCAAACTGTAACAGAAGAGACAACAGAGCTCTGTGGATGCCCTTGGAGCCATCCCCATCCCACCCATCCCTGGGGCTCACACAAAAATCCCCTCTGTTGATTTTATTCTTTGGTAGATTTTTATGCCCTTCTTTCTTCCACATATCCCGAAGTGACTTCCTTCTGTAATCATATTCCTTCTATTCCAATCACAGCATAGGAAATGTTAATTTCCTTCTTTTAATTGGCTTGATAAAGTCTTTTGTCTCACAAATCTTTCCCAATGCATTTGGATTAGGTTTTGTTGTCTTACATGGCAGCAGAGTCCATTGTGTTGGCTTCCAGACTCCGAACTTCTCCCTTTTTCAAGGTTTAACTTTTGTGGCTTTTCCTGCCATGGATAATAAATTCTTTTGTCCGTTGAAACTGAATTTCAAGAAGAGCACTTTTTTTGATGGGCACGCAACTGGGAGCCAAAGCTCGTTATTAATTACAGCGAGATAAGGGCTGGCACCGCGAGTGATGCTCTCCATCAGAGGTTTTTCATTATTTGTCTCTTGGCCCAGCCGTGTCCAAGTCCACCTTTCATCCTTGAGAATGTTCCAGCAGCCAACTTCTTTCTTCTTCTGTACAGAGCTCTTGCTTTTGGGTTAATTCCACTTTTTCTGAAGGGCCGCTTTTCGCTCCGTTTCCCATTTTCCCTAACTTTTGACAGTGAAGTTACTGAAAACTGTCAGGAGCTGCTTTGGAGGAGGAGGAGGATTTAAGTAACACCTGGAATGATAAAATATTTCTGCTTCCTCTTTCAATTTTTATTTGGGCATAAACCTGAACCGTTTTTATATTCATGAGTTGCAGTAACTTCCCGGGTGATAACAAGCCACAACCCAGGTTACAGCCAAGGATTCATCCAGCACAGTTTTTCACTATTGAAGTGATCTCTTCAGAGCAGTGATTTTTCAACTTGCTGCTTCTTATTGCCAGTGCTGTAATAGATATTCTTAAAATTAACTTCATCAGATAAAAATCATCTTAATTTTGCTGTTGCTCTTGGCGCTGGAGGTGCTAAAATATCTCAAAAAGTGCTGTGAGGTTTGCCCTGGAGTTTGCTTTGCAAATGAAGGTAGACTGTAAAAATAATAGCAGTAATACTAGTAGTAATAGTAGAAGTAAAAAATAAAAATAAATAAATAAAACCTTTAAAGGATAGTGATGATAATGATGATGATGATGATGATGATGATGATGATGATGATGTTCTGTTGACTTTCTCTGGGATTCCTCCACTGACCTGTGTTAAGAAGTGTTTCACCCTGTCACACAAAGATTCAGTGCGTCATGAAATCAAATCAAAAATAAATTGGGATTTGAATAATTCAAAAATGAGCACTGAAATCTCTCTGTCTCCTCTTTGAATGTTCCCTTATGGAAAGCTGGAGGAATACCTGGCTTCCTAAAAACCCCCCTGATGCCCAGGGGTTGTTCAATTCCAGCTCCATCTGAACACACATTCTGTGCTCCGCTCCTTTTCCAGTGGCAAACACAGCAGAATCCGTATTTTTTCTTCTCTCTTGGTATTCACTGGAATTAATAACATAAGGCAAAAAATGAGAGTTACAATTTAAAGAAAAATAATGGTATATAAAGTAATGAGATTGTGCCAAAGCTTAATTAGATGGAGTCGATTGAATACATTACAGCGATGTCTTGAGGCACCATAATTAAGTTGTGGGCACAATCCTGCCTGAGTTGGAAACGTTTTTATCTGCATGAGGGAAGCAGCCTTGGATGGCCCCTGTCCCACGTTAAATTGCTGATTCTGAGGAGATGATTTACACACCTCATTGTATTATCAGCCTTCAAAAGCACAAAGAAATCAGGGCTAAGTCAGAGGATAAAAGTGTTGATTGTCTGATCACACAGATAGCTTGGCTTTCAATCTTGGTATGTGCTACAGCACAGTAATTGAACCGTAGATCTCAAATACACATATTTTACATCAGTGCAGGCTGGTAATTCAGCTCTTTTGTAAAATCTCCTAATGAAGCGTTTTCCCCAAAAAGGCACTGACAGAGATGCTGAATTATGGGCTGAAGGGCTGCAATTCCTCCTTGGGTGGGCTGGGTGCAAGTGAAGAGATGCCTCTGACATCTTAATTATAAAGAATAAATATATAAAATATACCTTCATATGTGTGGGTACTTAATTTTTATGTGTATTTCTTCGTATTTTATATATACTTTCAAATTTTAATTTTTTTGTACCTTCCTTGCTAAATTTAAGTTTCATTTTCACATTTGGTTCCCTTCTTTTTTCTCTGTAATTCTTCCATGGGGATGATCTGATTTTCTACTGCAGCAATGTCCCAGGCCATTCAAAATTTTTCCTTTATTAATTAATTTGAATAAATGAATAAATTAATACCCTCTCTTAGCATACTGGTGTCTTTATCCATTTATATAAATACATCAATATACACATAAATGATCTCTTGGCAACATGTTGCCCACATATTAATATATAAATATATAAATATGTAAATATATAAATATGTAAATATATAAATATATAAATATATAAATATATAAATATATAAATATATAAATATATTTATATTAAAATATATACAAACATATAAGTATATAAATATATAAATATATAAATATAAATAATGTCTCTCGCCATCATGTTGCCCATGTGTTATCTGCAGGCTTCATTTCTCTTGGATACCAGACTTTCAGCTAAATATTAAATATTTTTTTCAGATGAGATCACAAAGTATCTTAAATTCATTAAAAACCTTTTTTAAATTTATTTGTTTTAAATAATTCTGGCTTATTTTTTTATCAGCCTGGAGGAAATTAACTTTTTTTTTTTTTACAATAGTGAAATTTCTTTTTTAAGATTGGTTTTGGGGTGGAGGAAAAAAACCAAGCCCAGTAGATGTCAGGAGGGGTTTTCATCATTTTTGGGCCTCTGAGGAGGCACAAATCTCTCCCCCATCCTGCTCCAAAGAGAAGCTTATTTGTCTGGGCATTAGCTGCCAGCTGCACTGCATAAATTTCAAGTTTTCAGGGGGAATCTCGTGTTTGTTTTGAAAATGGAGATCAGGCTACCAAGGAATAATATGTTTATTTTGCAGCACCATGAATATGTAGTGCCCTACTTCTCCTGTGCCATTTGGTTTTCTCTTTTGTGCTTGTCAGGCCAGCTCCTTTTGCAATTTAAGAAGAATTTTAGAAACTCCATAAACTACAGTGGGTACTGAATTAGCATTTTAGAAGTAGAGCAATGAGCAAATGTTTTAAAGATTGTCCTTCAAGAGCATTTCTGTTGGGCTATAAGTGGATTTTTTTTTGCTCATGTGTTTAAAAACGTGTTTTGCTTGACCTTAAAATACAACCAGTTGCATGTCTGGGTTAGATACAACACCATAACTTTAAAAAAATATATATGTTGTTGTAATAAACTGAATTTTTAATGATCTCTTGATTATGAAAAGATATTTTAAAGCTAAGTGATTTTATCCCAAGCATTCCCTCTGTTTCTGCATATGCTAATTTCCTTGATTAATTTGGAGAACATCTGCCTGGAATTCTGTGCACTTAGCAGCAGTGAGATCACCCTGCTTTTCAAGGAACAGCCTCAAATTTCCCTTTGCAGACAGACTCAGAGTTTGTGTCTAATTGGGATGCCAAATATACAAAGGTAGCCCAGAAGAGTGTGTAATTATGTAATTTTCTCTTGATCTTTCAGAGTCTTCCTGCGAGCAATTAATCAGTATGCAGATATGCTAAACAAAAAATTCCTTGATCAAGCCAACTTTGAGTTACAGGTAAGAAAAAAAACCCCAGTTTTAATGAAATAAATGATATTAATGTAATAAATGATATTAATGTAATAAATTCCTGCCCTAAACATGTAATTTTGGAGGGTTTATTTTTCATTGTGAATCCCAGTTATCCCAGTTAAGCCATTCTGGGCTTGGCAGTTTGTGTGATCCATTCCTGGCTTGTCATGGAATCACAACATCACAGCAGGGTTTGGGTTGGGATTCTGCTCCAATCATAGAACACAAAAAGGATCGGGGTTTGTAGCTGGGAAATATTTGTTGGAAACATAAAGGCGACGAGGAGATGTATTAAGAATTTATCAAGAAACACCATCTCTGTGGTGTCTGTTCTTTGCTCCTTGAAATATTTATGTGCATAATTTAGAGACTTTTAAGTTGTTTTGTAGGTGTGCAGAGAAACATTTCAGAGAATTAATGGAACCTCTTCTTGTCATTTTGGGGGCTTTCAGCTCTGGAACAACTATTTCCACCTGGCTGTTGCTTTTCTCACACAAGAATCTTTGCAACTGGAGAATTTTTCGAGCGCTAAAAGAGCAAAAATCCTGAACAAGTAAGTCCTGCTCGTCACCCAAATTGTGGCCAAGAACCCTCAGCAAAGGAAAGCTGTCAAAAAGGGGGAAAAAAAACCCTGGAAATGAGAGCAGAACATGAAGATTTTGTTTAGAGTGATTTAAGGGTGGAAAAGACCTCTGAGATCATGGAGTCAAAGCATTAATCAAGGCCACCTCTGACCCATGTCCCCAAGGGCCAC